ATAGTACTCTAATGTGTATATATTCCACACTTTCTTCATCCATTCTTCCATTGAAGGGCATCTAGGTTGTTTCCAGGTTCTGGCTATTCCAAATAATGCTGCTATGAACATAGTAGAGCATATACTTTTGTTGTATGATAAGGCCTCTCTTGGGTATATTCCCGAGAGTGGTATTGCTGGGTCCAGGGGTAGGTTGATTCCGAATTTCCTGAGAAACCTCCACACTGCTTTCCAAAGTAGTTGCACAAGTTCGCATTCCCACCAGCAATGGATGAGTGTACCCCTTTCTCCACATCCTCTTCAGCAAAGGCTATCATTGGTGTTTTTGATTTTTGCCATTCTGACAGGTGTAAGATGGTATCTTAAAGTTGTCTTGATTTGCATATACCTGATCGCTAAGGAAGTTGAGCATGACCTTAAGTGTCTTTTGGCCATTTGAACTTCTTCTGTTGAGAGTTCTCTGTTCAGCTCAGCGCCCCATTTTATAATTGGGTTGATTAGCCTTTTATTCTTCTGATCTAACTGCATGTGTCATGATAATATTCATTCCACTGAATATGTTCTTATGTCTCCCTTTCCTCTTCCACACAGAATTATGTAATATAATTTCTGTGGGTCCAGCACTTCCTACCAACAACACATTTCAACATCTTTAGGTGACTCTACTATCCATGCTTGTATACACTAACCATGCAATGTTTCCAGCAACTTGTTTGCCTAACTTTAAAAGAAAAGTAATCAAACTCAGTATTTCATATGCTTTAAAGAGTCACTATAAGTCTATTCAAGAAAAGTTTTTTATTTAATTTATTGATTAGCTGGTTTAAATTACATCTCTAGAGAAAGCTAGGAAATGCCCCAATTTCAACATAGTTAGTCCTGTGAATAAATCTTTATTATGATCCACAGTGGCGTGCTAGGTGTGACAGAAATTTTCTCTGTTTTTGAACACATTTTTACTAAAGCTAGGTGATATAGTCATAACCTAAACTTATTCTAGCAACAGTTGGGGCAAGATTTTTTTTTCATCTAATGGAACTGGTATTGTCATGTTTAAACTGCCTTATTTTTGAGGGACAATTAAAAATAAAATAATAAAATAAATAAATGGCTCCAATGTCACTGTAGAAATTAGCTTTTGGCCTGCTAATCTCCTTAGAAGTAGTGTAGAGTAGAGTAAGGACAACCAGAATGCAAGGCAGATAGCCTATCTGGTATATCATATATGCAGATTGTCTTTCCTCTGAGCATGCTTTTCATCTATAGAGGGAGACTTTATTGTTACAGGTTTTTCATACATTATATTTTTAAGTAATCTTTCTGTTCAATGAATGGGATTAATTGCTATGAAATATTTTTAAAGTAAATGGGATGAAAACTCATTGACGTAATCATTTGCACTCTTGAAAGGGTTTTATTTAAAGACTTTTCTATAAAAGTGAACAATCGGAATCATTAGTTGAGGAGGGAATGACTTATTCCAAGCTGTAGACTGCAGACAAGCTGGACTGAAGAACAAGAGTGCTTGGGTACAGACCACAGAAGTGAATTATATGTTTCTTTCTTTCTAGCTCCAGCTTTGATGGTCAGATTTCATTTATTCCTTTCAGAAATCCTTCTACCTTTCACCACTTTCAAATTTTACATTTTCTTTGTTTTCCTACTTCAGGTTTCTCTGCACAGTTTTTTTAAAGTAGCTATTAAGTCAGACAATAGCCCTTACTGTGGTGACAGAATTTGAAAGTCAACTACTTGTCTGGACTTACTGAGTAGACAGTGAGTAAAGCATACTTCTGGACATTTTCATAAAGATTTTTCAGAGAACTCTGGCGAGTGGATTAGTGCTGTGATTTAAGCAAACACACCAAAGGTCTATTAGTTGAAAGCTTTATCCAAACCTTTTAGATTTGCTGGAAAGTGATGGAGCCTTTAAGAGGTGAGACCTAGTGAAATATTTTTAAATTATTTGTTTTTGCTCTCCATGGAAATGATGGGTTCCATCTCCTGCATCTTCCTCTTTCACACCCAGCCTATGAAGTAAGTGGCTTTGCTTAACCATATGTTCTTATTATGATAGATCCAAATGCCTCAGATCCAACCAATTATATATTTGAATATCTAAAATATATTCAAAAGTGAGATATTTTTACATTTGTAAATTATCATAAATATGTTATGGCAATGAAAGTCTAAGGAATTCAGAAACTTAACTGTAAAGTCCTTCATCAATGAGGGGGTTGTACCATTTCATAAACTGAAACTTGTGACCATGGCCTTCTCAGAGAGAGGAGAGGTTGGCCTCTGATGGAGTCTATATATTTGGTCTCTTTCTCTTTCCAAAGAATTTATCTTTTCAAACAAAACTATTGATGATTTTATGGTTTTCCATCCTGTATGTCTGTTTTAGAAATTGCATTCCTTGTAATCCTATAAGTCAATTTAATAAATATTTTATAGAAACTGCATCATATTCATTGTGCTTTTCTGGAAACTCTAATATAGAGAAAATAGATAGTGAGGAGTGAGGCTGCTATTATACCTATACCTAAAGAAGTTTGGGGATTGTATAATGAGAAAAGTCTGATAAAATTTGGAGTCCCAGGCTAGAAAATGCCAGAGAAACTAAAAGTAGAGTATCACAGGCACATTGTGAATTTCTTATTTTTAGAGATGTCATGAGATGACCTAGAAACAGTTACAAAGGTATAAGACTATTGTCAAAGACAAAAATCCTAATATTTCTACCTTATACCAGTTGGAATGATTCAATAGTCATTGAATGTAGCTATAGAGGAAAATATTCTCTAATCCAACTCCATAGAGAAATTTTAGATGATGATAATTATTTAGCATAAGTTATTAATTATATACAAATAATTTAAGTGATACAAATTATTTACTCAAGGGTTATAGTGAAGAAGAAAGAGTAAAAGTAGCAATGAATAAGACATTTAGAGTCAATAGCAGAGTATTTAAAAATCAAAGAAAAAAATAAAGCTCCTAAGCACTTGGTTGTATAGAAAATGTGTCAGGTATAACACATGGACAAGCAAATCACTAGGCTTACAAATAGACAGACTGGTCATGGAGAAAATAGTGCCAATTATTTCCTAAATTGCATTTTCTTGCAAACAGGAGATAGATTGCGGGGCTTAAGTCTCAGTCTCAGGACACAAAGGAATGCTGGGGTTGAATGAGCAACTTAACAGAAAAAAAAAAGATTAGCTGTTCAAAATGGAAGGAGTAGAGGCAAAGACAGATTCTAACTATCAGAATCTTTCATTACATGGAACTTTAGTAACATGTGTAATTTTTATGTGCAAACCAAATATAAATTTAACCTTTTAATGACTTAGAGCCTTTTAGCAATCTTAATTTTTTTCTTACTTTCTTTTTTTTCTGACATACATTTCTAATGATGTATACCTTAGAAGAGAAATGCGTAGTGCATTTGGTTTTATCAGAATTTCAGGATGAAGAAAACTGTATAAAGCATGTGACTTTAGAAAAACTCAAGGGAATATAGTGCAACAGTTAGTGCAACAAAAGATTAATAACATCAACTTCTTGGGCCTAAGAAAAGAATCCTAGTCTAAGGTATAAAATCACCCCCAAATTTAATATTCTAAAACACTGAGTTTTATTTCAACAGCTAGAAATTGACAAACCCCTAACCTATATTTCCCTTGTATCTATATACATGAACTGTGTCTTTTTTCCTTTACAAAAATTTATGATTCCAGTATTATTTCAGTGAAGTGAATCTGCCAGGTAAATGTTAAACTACAGGAAGTCAGGGTCCATGTCTGAGTGACTCATTTGTCTAATCTCAGCACTTAGCCAGTTCCCGAAGCATCGGGAGCCAAGAAAGGGAAAGAGATTGAGTGAATGAGATTCTTGTCCCTCAACCCTGCTGTTCCCTAATTTATGATAAAACTGCCCTCAATCCATGAAAATTGCTTTGACAGATTCTATTTTAGGCTTAACTTTTCAGTTCTTTCCTTAACACGTATCCATTATCTTTCTTTCTAGTGGTTGCTTTCTGAGCTCGGGTTTAAACAAACTAATTTACACAGGGGGAGAATGGATGAACGGGAGATTTTATTTCACACAATGAACCATTGTAAGACAAATAACAACAGCACTTCCGATGACAGCTTCTTGAAGTATTTCAAGGAAAATGAGACAGGGAATTTAGTAATATGAATAAGAACATTCGGTTTGTGGAGGCCACGTCCCTGCAGACAGATGGCCACTATGCAGGTGAACCAATCCTAAGAGGAATTCACTGAGAGGGTCCCAGCTTCTTCCTTGGGCGTAAGTATCACCGAGTTCATATAGTTTCTGTCTTCCCACCGCAGGAACCACATTCTTTCTTCACAATAAATTCACTGCGATAATTCTTTAAAAGTGTGTGGCAGGCTGAGCACTGTGACTATGGGGACATATCATTTTTGCTCTTTAACAACCCATCAGTTTATATTATCAGACACTTTTCTAATGCTCACCTATAGAGGACTCAAGAAGAAATACCAAAACTCTTCCACTTAAGAGAAGACCAGGCCTAGGCCTTTTGTTTTGAAACCTTTCAGCCTCTTCATTATTTACAGATTTGTGAAGTGCAAACAGCCAGAGCTATCAGGCAAAAGCAGATCCCCTAAGCCTTTTATCATCCCAGCTACAAGTTTGCATATTTTCTTTATAACCAGACAGCATAGGAAATGAAGCAACTCTTTACAGGAAAATGAGGCAATTGGAATGTTAATTTTATTTGGTAATATATTGTAAAATCTAAATAGCATTATCCATTTGATTGACAAAATCTATCCAGCTGTTAAAGGCAAAATAAAACTATCTCAAGACACACAGTTATAGAAGTCTAATGTTTGCCTGCAGGTAGATATTGAGAGTGGGGGAGCAGGGAGGCAGGGAGGGAGAGGAACAATTGCCTGGTTGATAAAATCCAGAAAGAGAGGCAGGATGGGCACAGAAGCAAAGTGTCATGTCATGGTTTCTCTCTTCTTCTTCAGCGAGGCTTTTATCTTCTTCCACAGGCTGTCCTTCCTCTTTAATTTCTTTTCCACTGAGGACAGCATGGATTCCTTCCTGCGAATTTCTCGCACTAAGCCTTGAAAAGCATCATCAATACCGAATCGGAGGGCTGCAGAGGTCTCAAAGAAGGCACAGTTGTATTCTCGAGCAAGATTCATGCCTTCTTCTGTAGAGACCTAGGGAGGGAAATAAACAAAGAATATTAGAAAGAGAGGGGAGGCTTTCATTAAAAAAAAAAATGTTCTCCTCACTCTGGCCTCTGTGTTTCAACTTTATGAACAAAGGTAAAATGTGATATTTGATTGTGAAAATGTTCTAGAATTTCTGGACTTGAAGGACAAATGAGAAATCTGAATCCCACACAGAAAAAGTCAGTATAACTCAAAGCCAGTTCTTCAAATATCAAAACCTGCATGGAAGCTCAGTGGTCAACAGCACCGCTGTAGGTGAATTCCACCTTAAGTCCTACCTTAACTGTTTTTTGATTTGCAACTATAGATAATCAAAGTGATCTTTTGGTGTCTGCTTCATCTTCTTTTACACAAAAGTGTAGACGAGTTACACTGACATCATAGATGGTGTTTTGGGGTCTTGGCATCATCTATAGAATGACTGTGCTGGGAACATTTCAAGTGCTGAAGGGGTGATTCTTATATAATTCAGAGTTCTCATCTAACAATGCATGATGGACTTTTTAGAAAATATTTATTTATTTATTATGTATACAATATTTTTGCCTGCGTGCAGGCCAGAAGAGGGCACCAGATCTCATTACAGATGGCTGTGAGCCACCATGTGGTTGCCGGAAATTGAACTCAGGACCTTTGGAAGAGCAGGCAATGCTCTTAACCACTGAGCCATCTCTCCAGCCCCATTAAAAACAACTTTCTGATGAAGGAATCAGTAAGAAAAACATGGCCACTGTGATAAATTAGCCTTTCTCCAGCTAAAAACTTTACACATGATCCATGGTGTTTAACATGTGAAGAGTAAATGAAGCTTCTATGTTTGAACAGCAGAAATAGAGTCCTAAATGCTGTGACTTGGCTTCATAACTGTTTGTCAAAGCACAAGATTTGGAAAAGCCTGAAACTTTTCTTAGAACTGAAGTTAAAATTGTGACTGTCACAGAGGGGAAAAGGGGGAAGCATTCTCCACTTTCATTGTTCATCCGGGTCACAAAGTTCAGTATCCCAGAGGTAGAGAACACTGCAATAAGAAGAGAGTGATAGGCTGTCCTGATGAAGACAAGTTGTTGCTTCATTATTCCTGTTGGCCTGGTCACCAGGTGTGAACTGAGTGGCCAGCCTAATCCTTCCCCACTCCAGACATTCCCTTAATGCTGCATCACAGTCAGATTCTCCATCTCTATGGAATAGCCCCATCTTTCACTGAATTCCATTTTCCGTCCTTTCATGGGCTTCTGTACTTTGTCTTTCTTCAAGCTTGTGTTTTCCTTCAGTTGCTACATAAAATGGTTTTGATTTTTAAATTGACATCCTTCCAAAGGCAGCAGGACTCATAACCATTCTGGTCCCAACTATCTCACTTTTTTTCTTCATATGTGCAAATCAGATATGTGGTGTCCTTCTGTTATAACTCTACTGATCAAAAAGACATCTTCTCATTTGGAGAGAATAAATCTCTTTAGTAATTCATCCTCTTGCCTCCATAGAAAGGTTTAGTGTGGAAGATGTTTATACTATAGCCTGTTAAGAAGCAACTAATATTGCATTCTTTTCTAAACCCGCCTAGGGCACCTTCAGGACAGACTTTGCGCAGCCATTGCGGAATGTGAGAATGTAATGTCCACTGCAGTCTAGACATGAGGCACAGCGCAGATCTGAGTATTGAATTGTATCATCCTATTGTATTAAAACACATAAAAGCCTGGCATGGTAGATGATGGAAGCTTGCTTCTTTACAAATGCTACACTCTTCTAAGAAACCCAGGGAACTGTCCCTTTAAAGCTAGCTCTGTTTCCTTTAGTATAATTGGGCAACTTCCAGTGACTTGGAAAGATCTAACCCAAAATAGGATTGAACAGCTTTGGGCCAACAGCCCTTTTCCTCCTGAGCGTTTTCCTCCCTACTATTTCATGTCTTGAACCATTATATCCCTGGATTCTTTAAGAATAGATCTGGATATGCAAAAGTCTACATGCATTTCTAAACTACATTTTCTTTAAAGAATAAATGTTGGTAGGACTCCCTTTCTAAGGTCCATTCAGAGCCTCACTCGGGCATGATAGTTGATAGTCTGTGTTCCTCCACTGCCTCCACTTACCCATTTCCATTTCTGCTGTCATATGAATTAAAAAAGAACCCCATGATTTGTTCTTTTGGACATGGAGGAAGTCAGTGATTCTGAGTTGTCTGAGTGCTGTAGGCTATTTCCTGAAAGGCTGTGTGTGAAGATGAAGGCAGATCCAGAAGAATCTATTAAGCAGTTTGAGGATGAATCATTTTGGTTGAATTCATCAGCATCCGAGAACTTATCTTTACTGCTAGAGTTAGAGAACTCTGGGACTGTATTTGGACACAAGGTGACAGGGCTGAGAGGAGTTAGGCTGCTGCTAGGTGGTGACTTCCCACTGCCTGTCCTATTTGGTGTTACAGTCTGGTGATGTCCTAAGGTAGCTAATGCAGCTTTGACAAGTAGAGAAGATAGATGTTGCTCTGACTCATATGACTAAGAAGGTTCTGAAGACAAGGGTCTGGGATGGCGTTGAGCTAATCACAGGTTCCCAGGGATGAGGTTCATATGTTGCATCTATGGGATTAATAGCACTTACGATTCCACCATGCGCTGCCTCGCATGACTCTGCTCTTCTGCAACCTGCAGCAGCAGAGTGCTGAGTTTAGTTGACTCTATGATGCTATTTCCTGTGTCCTTGAGTTTCCACCTTCTTTCTGTTTGCCATCTTAACAATTCGAAACTTGGCACTAAAACTCTATCCAAATTTTAATGTTTAGACAGCCATGCTGGAGTGAACAGGGGCCTCCATTCATGAATTTGAGATGAGAACAAGGGGAGGTTTGGCGGGAGGGAATGGAGGCGGGATGATGCAATTATACTTTCAAACATTTAAACAATTATTTTAAGAAATTAAAGAAGATTTTTACAAAAGATTAATAGGTAAGCATCAGACTCTGTAAGTGTCTTATCAAAATCTTGAACATTAAGAACAAGACCCGATTCCAAATGTCTTTAAGCTGCCTACAGGAGATCCTGTCCCCCAGCTCCTTACACACAGGAGAGTCCTTCCCCCACCCTTATACACAGGACAGTCCTTTCCCCAATCCCTTACACATAGGAAAGCCCCTCTCCCCACCCCTTACAAACAAGAGAGCCCTTCCCCCATCTCTTGCACACAGGACAGCCCTCTCCTCACTCCTAACAGTCCTCTTTGGGCATACACTCCAACCTGGAGTGCAGTACCTGTGATACCTGCATCTATGTTTTGTTTTCTTTTTTATAGAAATTTTACTTTAAAAAAAAAAAACAAAAAACAAAAAAGCTTGCCAATTAACAAAACATCACACACCGAAATTAACTAGACTCAAAGCGTATGTAATTCAAAGAACATCTTCTATACAATTAGAATAGGCATCTGGAATGAAAGCCACGGAGCTTCACATTAAATTGTACACTTTCAGTATCAAATGCACTTTGTGAACATATTTTCTGTTTTCTTTAATCTCCTGCATGCACAACACATTGTAATGAATGAGATTTAAGCTTACATGAAAAAAGCTGATATAAGACTTAAATACCAGATAAAGGGGACACTATAATAAAGAATATTACTAGACTATAAGGGAAATGTTTTATAATGATAAATTCAATCCACTGGAAAAATAATATAAGTATAAACTTGTTTCAACTAAGAAAACCTGATATTACTAAAATCCACAATGTTATATGAGATTCTTAACATACAGCTCTTGGCAGTTGAAAGAACAAGGCAGAAAAAGTCAGTAAGAATATAGACTTGAACAAAGCAATGCAAACAGTTGATATAACTTTCAAATATTTGGTGTTATACCCAGTGCCACAAATAGTTGTGCTATTTTCAAGTAAGCATCAGATTCCATGCTAAACCAGGACTGAAAATACTTCCATGAATAAACATCACAGCATATTCCCAAACAAATGAAACTGAGCTAGAAATCAGGAGGAAGGATGACTAAGAAATCTCCAAGTGAAAATATTGTGAAAAATATACTTCCATTTAGGTGAAGAGAAATTACATAAAAATTAGAAAATGTTTGTAACTGAATTATGAAATGAAATGTAACATGAAAAATTGTATGATCATCTAAATCTATCCTCATATGATGTTCATATCAGCATATTCATTCATGCTTTGGCGAAGTATAAATAGGAAAGTGTAATGACTGAAGTATTTACTCAACAAATTACATGTATGGGGCACACTTAAAGCACTAAACATGTAGTATAATTCTGAACAATGACAGAGACCCCAGATAAAGATCAGCATGTAAGTAGGGTTGTGATGTGTTCTTGGGGTGGCACCCCAAATGGGTAGTGAGATGAAGGTGGTGTCGTTGGTTCCCTGACACAAAATTCACTGTGAGTAATTTAAAATTTTTATTAATTCTTTCAGAATATTTTTGAGAAAAATATATGGGGGTTGTTTCTTCTAGAAAATAAAGGCAATTTAGGCAGGGGAGAGACAAAATAGAATAGAGAAGTCTATAGTTAAGTTGACATGTTTTATACCCTTAAATTTATATCACTGTGTATGTGTCTATCATATATTTTCATATATGCATTCTTTATATACACATATTTATGAAATGCTTTATAATTATAAAAATGCAAGAATCACAAGTAAACCATTACAAATATCAAAATTCATTTACAAGTCAATGTAAATAAAATCACACACCAAAACAAACCAAACCCAAAATTCTAAACAACCAAAAGGACTTCCGTTTAGTTAAAACTGGCATTCAAAATTGAAACCATGAAGGCTGTGTTAAATTTTAAGCTTTCAGTTGCAACAGGCTTCCTTTTGGGCCACCAGCCAGTTTCCAAATCATGACATGGACATTTCTTATTAGTTTTGATTGCTCGGTCTTATCTTATACTTTTGCCACTGGCTCTTATAACTTAATTCAACCTGTTTCTCTTCATCTACATTTTGCC